GGCCTGAGCTGGTTCACATCGCAGCTTCCAGCTTTGTAGCTGTCAGTTAGGTTTGCTGAACTGTTTCCTCACTGGAAATTAGAATGCCAGTGCTGGGTCTCCAGGCTTGCTATGGACATGAAGAATCTGCTCTGTTTGGACCATCTGTTGCTGGTAGTATATAGTCATTAAAGTTTAGGCCTTTTCTTTTCACCAGTTCCATTTATTTTCTTCCCGGGTGTGTGTATAGATAAAGTAATAAAGCATTATTTCAAATGTCATTTAATAAGTAGTCAAGACATTATTACTTATATGTTATAAAAGACTTACCAGTTCTACCTGTAAAACGGAGTGAAGTTTCTGAAATTTGTCAAAATAGATAATATATTTTTAGGAGCTTCTTTAAAGTGAGACCAAACAAATCCAAAAAGCCTAAATCTGTGTAAGCTGCCTCCTTGGTATTAGAGGTAGTCATGTAGTACCTAGGGTATTTTGCACAGTGGTATGTTTTGTTCTTAGTGAAAATGTTCTTACAAATGTTTAGGATATGATCTTCTTAGAAGACCTGCTGTGCATATCTTAACTCTCAGCCATGATAGCTATCATGCAACATTTCTTACTCTTTTTCCTTCAACTTACTGAATATTAATAAAAACTCTGAATCCCAAAGTATTATGAATTTTAAAGTTCAGATATATTTAATGTCTTAAGTGCAGTAGAAATTTCTGACTGACATACCAGGAAAGTGAATTTGTATTCTCTGCTGAACCTCGGGGTATTCACACAATAAGCTCAAATGGGAAGGCTTGGCATTTTTGACATATTGGAAGGTTTATTGTTGTATCTCTGGAATTATAGAAGTAAGCAAAGAGAGCTATCCCTAGAATTCCAGGACAGTCTCTGCTCGGTTAGAATCGTCTCTACTTATGAGAAGTATCTGTCTCTAAAGAAACAGTTAAGTAGAAACTAGTGTCTAGATAGCTTTGCTGGATAGACAGGTAACGAAGATGACCAAAGATCCTGTACCTGTTTTCAGTATTTGATCTATTAAAAAAATGAGGGGAGACGGGATGTAAATGCTCTGGAGGTTCTTTGGAAGGACCAGTACACTGAGAAGGGAAAGCCTTCATAGAGGAAGTGGCATTTGCACTTGGCCTCCAGAGAGAAGCAATGGCAGAGCAGAATGGGCTTGGGAAGAGGGCAGTGACGTCAGAAACAGGTGAAGACTCAGCATGTAGGTATGTTTTAAGGACAGTGAGTTACTTGGTTTGGCCAGAACCTGAGGGGACTCAGTTTGTTCATTGAGGATTGCAGGGGTTTTTGTTTGTTTGTTTGTTTGCCTGTTGTTTAAAAGAGGTGTGATCTTATTCTACAGATGGTGCAAATATATCTCAGGGAGAAAGGCTAAGGGGCATTGTGGTTTGGGTGGAAACTCCAGGGCTGATGAGAAGAACACAGAGAGAAGAGGAGCTAGAAGCCTAAAGATCATTGGGAAAATAGTTGGATGGAAATGTCAGGGGTCACACTGGTTCGAATACACTAGCTGCAGAAAGGGAAGAAAGACTGCATCATAGATAAGCTGACCTGCCTGGGTGCACAGAGATAAGCAAAGTGGGTAAGTCACGTGACTTCATTACTTCAGCTAGTAGGTCGATGCCAATTAAGAAAGATTGAAAAAGGAACATGTTTGGGATAAAATGTGAGTAGTTGTGAGGACACTTTCTTCTTTTTAGTCAATCTTAGTACGCTTTACTAGCTGGGGCACTGAAAGTTTTTCATCTGAGTTGTAGGCAACGGCATGTTTGGGGGTCATCAGAAATGATGGTATATGAGAAAACCAGGTCTAATTTGAGGCATATAAAGTCTTGCAAAACAGCTGTATCATCTTCTTAACATAAGAATAACACAAATAACTTTTTAGTCTTCAAGAGACTTATGAAGCCAAGAGACTCGAATTCTATGGTGAACGTCAGAGGAAGGAAGAAGAGATGAAGCAGATGTTTGTGCAGCGAGTGAAGGAGAAAGAAGCCATTTTGAAAGAAGCTGAACGAGAGGTGAATGTGGTTCAGTGTGATTTGTATTTATTTCTTTAGATGGTCTATAAAATTGGAGGACTAATTAGACTGTAGTCATCCTTTGAAAACTATGACATATAGTCTTTAAATATAGACTTTAAAGAAATTACAACCTGAAATCCAATTAAACTTCTAGTCTTTGGAGCAAACATTCTTCCATTAGAAACAGTTTATCAAAGACTTGTAACTACTAGGTTACTAAGAAGTATTCTAATACTATAAGAAGTATTCTAATACTATAACCAGAAACATTTCAGCTGTGGCTTATTAAAATACTTTTCCTAGGGCAGACAAAGCAATGTCTATTCCTCTTCTCAAGGTACTGACAATAAATTGAGGCAGAATTTTGCCAAAGTTCACTCTGGGGAACCACTGGATTTATGGGCTTCCTTACAGAGCCTAGATGAGGGGTTACTTAGAGAGGTGGGCACTTCTACCCCAACCTGGTAGAGGCACCTGGAAAGCCTTACCCAGCAGGATGAAGGCTTCCCTGGTAGCAGCATAGTTGGAGCCCTGGCTCTCGTCTTTCCTTACCTCCTAGGCCCTCCCCCAGGCCATGGGCAGAGTTGCAGCTGGATACTTAGGGGAGAATCTGGTGGCCTACTCAGAGCCTCTGTGCAGGGATGTAAATCATCAACCAGCTCAGCTGGGTTTATCTTTGCAAGGTACTATAGTTGAACTCCCCAAGATGATGGCCATTTGGCTCAGAGGACAGTCACTCATGGCAGCTGCTGTTGTTGTTTCCAGGAGTTGGGGTTGTTATTTACCATAAAGTGAAAGCTGTGAAATGACTTTCTTTACATTTGCATTCAGATCTTATGATTGGACTAGAGAACCTTGGGACTCACCCTGTCATAAGAAAATACTAGTAAATTCCCTGGAAAGATTTTTTTCCCCTCCCTTCTCATTCCTTAAGCAATGATTTCAGTTTTGAGTTAGTATCTCTGTTTTCTTATGTACATCAGTATCCTTGCGCAAGTGTGTACACATACATGTGTGCAGGTCAGAGGTCAACTTTGGGTGCTGTCCACCTTGGATTTTGTTTGTTTGCTTGCTTGTCTGAAGTAGGATCAGAACCCCAGGGACCTGCCTGTCTGTACTCCCCATTGCTGAGATGACTTAGCACGGATGACCACACCCAGCCTTTAGGCCGGGGTTCTGAGCATTCACTCAGGTCTTCATTCATTCACAGCAGACACTTTACTGACTGACATATCTCTAGCCAGTTGTGAATGAACTGTCAGAAACATAGACACAATGATGTTTTTCCACGGTGTCAACACTTATTGAATAACAAGTTTGTAAGTAAAAGTCAGTTTCATTGACTACAATGCCAAGCAATCCCAGTTTCCCTTGATAGCTGGCTATTGGTATTCATAGGTCCTTTATTATTACAATCTCAATTACTAGTATTAACTCTCAGATCACACATTACACTGCATACAGTGATAGATACAGGAGTGAGAGTATGAGTAGGCTTGAGAAGGGCTACAGTAAGATACCCCGGGTTCAAGGAGGCATTTCTGTGGGGTGGGGGTAGTCACTGAAGGTGCTTGGATAAGACATTAGAGATCCCAGAAGCTGCTCAAGGCAGGCAGGACCTAGTGTCGTAGGACCTGTTCTAGATGTTTACCAAAGACAGAATGCAGATGGATGAGTGACTGACTAGAAATCCTTTGCTCTGCATCAAGCAGTGAGGACGGTCAAGCGGCAGAGATTCTTCACTCCCTTGACATACCCGCTGTGTCAAACGACACGTCGGTAGGGTCGCCACCATGTCAGCGTTACTGTCCTTTCTTTCATGGAGTTCAAGGGAGAATGACTCTTGGTTGTTCTGGTGTGTTTGCTATGTATTTAGGTATGTTTGATAATCAGGCCCATGTGTTCACAGTCTACTTTGACAATTCATAGGTTGTTTTAGTTACTTTTTGTTGCTGTGATAAAATAATATGACCAAGGCAGTTGTAGCAGGAATTGATTTGGCCTTATGGTTTCAGAGTGGCCTTCATCATGCTAGGTGAGGTAGTAGGTGGCCGGAGCAGGAAGCTAAGAGATCACATCCTCACTGCAGACATGAAACAGAATGAACTGGAAGTGGGGTGAGGCGGTCAGAGCCCTCACTCCGTGACATGCTTCCTCTGGCAATGCTGTACTTCCTAAAGGTTCCCTAACGTCCCCAAAGAGCACCACCAGCTGGGGACCAAATGTTTAAATCCTCCTATGGGGGAACATTTCTTATTCAAACCACCGCTTTGTACCTTCATGAATAAGTTATTTATGAGTCTGTGCCTCACTGATACTGGCTGATATTTAGGTTAAGAGGGCAGGCACCTCCAGAGGGGTTCCAGATTCTTGTGCTCCCAAACAAGGAGTTGAGCAGGGGCAGTCCCGGCAGAACTGTACGTATCCAGGAATCTTGGTTGGGCCTGATAGAACTGTTTTATTGTTTCTGGTTATATTTTCTGTTGTGTGTTTATGACCATGTAGGTAGCCAAATTTTAACCTCTTTTAGTGCTAACGTCAGTCAAGACTCGGGGTTACTCTCGGGAACTTAAGAGGAGCCCCTTGGCTTTGGTCATTTTTTCTCTACATGTTGAATGATATTTTTGTCCATAAGAATGGTCAGGGTCTTGCTAACCGTGTGGCTTCCCTTAGAAGGGGATGTTCCCTCCCTCCTGATTCTCTCTCTGCAGGATGTGACTGGTTAGATCCAGTCTCTGGGCTCGTCTTGTTCTCTCTGGTCATGAAGACAGGGACTTATCAGAGTCATAGGGCTCTTTTAGAAGGGCCCCTCTCCACCACCTAGGTCTTGACTGACCTTAGAGGCTTGGCAAGAGGCAAAATCTGGGCTGTGATTACAGCCTTCTCACCCCTCATTGGTTTGGAAACCCAGAGGATGTTTCATTCCTCTTACAGAGTGGGTGATAGATTCTAGTTTTAACTTTTGGGTAACAGACAAAACTTAGACAAAACCAGATTTTTAACAAACGTGGGAGAGAGTATAATTATGTTGATTAAACATCATATTTTGTTTAAGTCAGTTTTTGTGTTACCAAGAGCTGGTCAATATCCTAAGAGGACTCCTTTGATTAAAGTAGAGCTCCTCTATCAGTGTTGATTTTTACCTCATGAATCTTCCTAACCTTTAATCATATACACATTCCATCTTTAAATTTCATCTTTCATAAACCCCTTTTTTTTTCACAAACCTTTCACTTACAGCCTTTCTATGTTTTTTTTTTTCTCTCTCCTGCTTATTGGTTCCTTTTTATGTCACTTATGTCACTTAAAGAAGGAACAAAATGAAAACATTTACCAAATTACATTCATGGAATAATGTGATCTAAGGTTACCTATCCATAAAAGTATAGTTTTTGTCTGTTGTAAGTACTGGGAGACTCTGTGGGCATTGGGTTCTCGTAAAGGCTCTTCCCTCATTTTCCCTTGGTTTTACATGAGTTGGAGAGCTTTAAGATGTTAGCATTCAAACAATAGCTGGCCAAGAAAGCAGAGCTTCCAGTGACCAGGGGTCATGAACCGTCTTGTATTAACAGGAAAGAAAGTACACAGAGAGCAAAAAAATCTTTCTACTTTAACCTTGTAATTCTAAGGAGATAAACTTCCCTCAAGAATTTGGAGTAGATAGCAAATGGTTACTTTTTCCTGGAGGAGCAAGGAAGGAGAAAAGAGGAGTGGAGTGGAGTGGGCTAGACAGGACCTGGCACTGTTGTCTTCCTTAGAACACACGTCAAGTTGACCAGATGAGCTGCCGTTCTGTGCTTCATTATGTGCTGGAGTAGGGATTGGCAGGAGACAGAAACAGCTTTCTCTCCTCTCCGATTGTCTCTTTACCCAGAAATAAAGTAAAGCTACCAGAGAGGAAATGCTTGGTGTTTGAGAGCCACCCTCTGACGTTTTTAGACTTAAGACTGTCTAATGGTCTCTGTGTTATAAACGGGCCAGGTCGTACTTACATTCATTCTCCATGGGATTTTGAATCGATGTCTCAAGTATGTAACTGTTAAAACAAACTGTTTTCAGCTGGGCAGTGGTGGCGCACGCCTTTAATCCCAGCACTCGGGAGGCAGAGCCAGGCGGATCTTTGTGAGTTCGAGGCCAGCCTGGTCTACAGAGCGAGATCCAGGAAAGGCGCAAAGCTACACAGAAAAACCCTGTTTCGAAAAAACAAAAAACAAAACAAACTGTTTTCAGCAATGAGATCCAGTTTATAGCTTTTATAGAAGTTGAAGTTGTCCCTTGGAAGAAAAAAGCCCGGTCATAGAGAACGTCTCATTTACCTTTCTCATCTACAGAGAGGATCTAGCTGCAGTGTGCTGTTAGAAGTTAAGATGCTTTTCAGAGGCCAGGTGTCTTTATCCCCTGGCTTTTAAGTATCCCATGGGTGTCTGATGAAAAGAAGGTAGTCCTGATTCCCATCTGTAAGGGGAGGGAAAATGAATCAGTGAGGTAACAAAAGAGTTTTGTTGTTGTTCTTGGTTATTTTCTTCTGTACTTGTGTGTTCCTTATTTTTATTGAGCATAAATTTGAGGATCTTTGTTAAATAGGCTTTGTGGATAAAATGTAAGGCAAGGATATAAAAATGTTAGCAAACAGTCAAAAGTTTTGTTCCTGAGGCTATGGCTTTTATGTATTTGGCTCACTCACATAAAGGAACTCTCTAATTAAAGTTCCTATGGCAGTTGACGGCTTTTACTGGCACCGTGGACAGTGGGCTGGATGAGTTGCATTAGGGTGGGAGGGTACTGGATTGCTAAGACAGAATACTCCTGCCTGTGTGCTGCCACATAGTGCCAACTGTGGGAACTGTCCTTGTGTTTTGTAGCTTCAGGCCAAATTTGAGCATCTTAAAAGAATTCACCAGCAAGAGAGGATAAAACTTGAAGAAAAGAGAAGAAATTTGGAGGAAGAATCAATTGCTTTCTGTAAGAAGAAAGCTGCCTGCGACCTCTTCCAGAGCCAGTCATTTTTGGCGACAGGTAGCAGCATTAAGAAGGACAAGGACCGAAAGAAGTAAGAGTCCTGCTACCCTGTCCTGTGGCCCTGCCCCTCACCTGTGGCTTCCGCCTGTTTGCTCTTCCTTTCCTGTGTTTCCTTGCTCCCTGTCTGCCTCCTGCTGCCAACACTCCAGCAGCTTCAGAGCAGAGACCTTGTCCTTGTTCTTCACTGTCCTTTGAGCAGGCAGAGTAGTGCCTGGCATGTCCAGGATCTTCGGTGTTTACAGCGTTAAGGAATGGCCAGACTCAGACCTCACAGCTGTGACTGTCAGGTGGGGCAGGGTGGGTAGGCGACTGGTATTTCACAGCCCTGCCGTGGTTCAAGGACACAGCTGATACCATGAGTAACTTTGTGTTTTATGTTTCCCTAGAAATTAAATTTTGATGGACAATCACTGAATTAAATATCTTATTAATAAAACCTTAATTTTAGGCTCATTTTAAAAGACTAATTCTACTAATCATTGATTTTTTTTTTGTGAGAATTTTTTATTTTAATAAGGGAATCAGGCTATCAGCTGGAACTCGTGTGCTTTGAACTCAGAGCTGGGGAAATCAATGACAGACATAGAGACGCAGAGGAAGGTAGAGAGGGCCACAGTTCAAGGGGTTGGTGTGAGTAGCAATTAGAGATAATCTCAAACTTAAAGGGTTAGGATATGTGTTAAAGTTACCAGTTTTTGAAAATAAGTTTATTTCCCTTTTTGATCGTTTCCTTCAGTACTCTGTGTCCCTTGTTTTATTCCTCCTACTTTAAACGTCCTTTGTCCACTTCACTGTTTTACTGTCAAGAAACCTGTCATGATTTGTTCTGTTGGCATGTTCCATTGTGGGTCTTCTGCTCCACCGGCCCCTGTCATAGGAGGGCAATGCTCTAATGTGTTCCCACAGAACAAGATTCCTGCCTCTGTGAACTCGGTGCCTATATTTTGTGTAATTATTTGTTGAAAGAAAGAATGTATAATGATATATTTTGATTGAAGTATTGGATTTAAGATATAAATTATAAATACAACTTATTACTAGTTTTACCATGTTTTAAATAAAAAAGAGCTCTTTTTACTTTAATATTCCTTCATTGTAATCTAGTATAACAAAACAAGATCCCCCAGTTTTCCCATATCTATCTCCCCAATAAAAGTGTCCTTCCACTCTCCTTGAGAGTCATGCTGTTGTTTACAAAGTCAGACAAATGGATTCCTTTTTCTTTCTTTTCTCGTATCCTAATACTTGGGATTGAGCCTACAGTTTCCCTTATGGTAGGAAGCACTCTTACTGCTGAGTTCTATCGAAAGCTTCTTTTTTGAGACAGACTCTGTGTAGCTAAGAAAGATGCAGAACTTGAGGTTGTCATTCCTCTCCCTACAAGTGCTAGGATTACAGTGTGTGCCAGCATGTCTGGTTTTTGAATTTATACTGTACTAAAGAATCTAATCCAGAGCTTTACGTGTTCTTTACCAACTGAGCTGCATCGCATCCCCAGCCCAAGCACAGATCTGTAAGAGCTCCAGATGCATACTCAAGACAACGTGGCTTGCTATTTTTTTCTTTTTCAAAGTCCCATAGCTAAATATCCTGTATGTGCTGTTTGCTCTAAGCTTTGTGAAATTAATACTTTTGACAATTTTTGCTTCTTATGTTTTTTTAATTGTTCCATTCAAAAGATTTTTTTTCTTTTCAGCTCCAATTTTATGTAATACAGGAGTTCCAGAGCACAGATGGTCATCACGATCAAAAGTTATTTGTATGCTTTGAGAGTTTGCTCTTTTTGCCTTATCACTGACTCAGTTATCTAGCAAAGGGCTAAAGTTAGAAAAATATTTTCACATATAAGGCTGATCTGCCAGCCAACGTGTATATTTCTCACACATTTACAGGCGTTGGGAATCTCTAAGTTGCTGGTTTGCTGTAGATCTTGGTCTACTTCCCTGCTGCCCAATTGTCACCTGACTGCTTGTTATTCTAAACAGCAAAGGGTCATTGCCATTAGAAGTACAGAACTCTTCATATTATGGATATCGGATTGTATTTTCATTCTAGCTGAACATACGTTTTTGTTGTATACTAAACAGAAAACACTGGAGGCATATACTTTGGAATGTATTACAAACTTAAAGCTAACATCAGTAGTAAAAAACTTTAAAATATTTGCTACAGTGACTCAATTAGCAATATTCTGAGGTTTCATGTCAAACTGTGTAACCTTTTGTGTGCTTCAATGTGCCTTGTTGTGTATTGCTTGATAAAACAAACAATTTTTAAAGTTAAAACATACATTTGAAGCTGGGTTATCATACTATTTTCTTTAAGATATCATAAATATTTTTTAAAATGCTGCCTTTCAAGGGACTAAGAAAGTTGAAAGAATAAGAAAGCTGAAAATTGTATTAGAGTATATGAATCTTAAATATATTAAAACTTGATACTTCATATTTCAGGAGATATTTGCATTCAGTGCCTTAATAGTCCAGAACAATGTTTTATCTTTTCTAATGGTTATACGTTTATATGTTTTCATTCTTTTGTACTTGAATATTCTGTATTCTGAATAAAATTGATATTCTTGACAAATCTACATATTTCCTAAAATGTGTTTAAATATGCTTAAATTTTTTTTAACAGTAGAACATGATATTTCATTTCTTTCCTACAATATGTGTGATCAAATCAAGGTAATTGGCATACTTATCAACTCAACAGCCATTTTGTGTAGAGAACATTTAGAGTCCTCTCTATTAAATGTATATATTTTTATCAGCCATACTTATTATACTGTATTGTAGACGATTAGAAAATTTGTCCTATCCAGTTTTACCCTGCACCTATACTTTGCATCCCCACCTTCCCTATATCCTTCTCAGCCTCTACTAATTACTGTTCTTTTCTTATTCTTCTGAGACAAAATCTTTTAGCTTCACATGTGAGAAAGAACATGCTATATTTGTCTTTCTGTGCTTGACTTATAATGACCCTTTGCTCCTCCTTGGTTATACAGGTGATAAGATGTCACTATTATGACTGAATAGCATTCCATTGTGTCTATCTGTACTGCATTGTCCTTTCTTATCATCCATGGATAGGCTTCTGGCTAGTCCACCTCTAGAGTGTTATGAACAATGCTGCATTAAACTTGTCTCTTTGATGTACTGATTTCATTTCTACTGGTTATATTCCTAGGAGTGGAACTACCAGATCATAATATAGTTCCATTTCTATTGTTTTTAGGAAGTTGTTCTCATAATCATACTCATTTATATTTTCACCAATGGTATATGAAAGTTATTCTTTCTCTACATCTTCATCAACATTTATCACTTATTTATTTGATGATTATCATTGTAAGCTACCTGTGTCTTTGCTAACATTTTTAAAATGTTAAAATCACCATTCTAACTGGGATGAGATCTCACTGTGAGACAATTTTTATATATTTGCTGGTCATTTATATTGCTTTGAGATCTGTGTATTCATTTTGTTTATCCATTTTATAATTGGATTTTTCTTTTACTATAGAGTGTTTTTGGCCTCTGATATTGTTTTTGGCCCAGTCCACAGCCACTGAGACCCAAGTAAACACACAGAGGCTTATATTAATTAAAACTGCTTGGCCATTAGCTCAGGCCTACCACTGACTAGCTCTTACACTTAAACTCAGCCCATTTCTGTTAATCTATATGTTGCCACGTTCTGCGGCATTACCTGTGTGCCATTACATGCCGCTCCCTGGACAGCGGGCTGGCATCTCCCCCTCAGTTCTGTTTCTCCCTCCCAGAAATCCTGTTTGCTTGTTCTGCCTCTACTTCCTGCCTGGCTACTGGGCAATCAGTGTTTTATTTATCAACCAATCAGAGCAACACATTCACAGCATACAGAAAATCCCACAGAACCCCCCCCCTTTTCTTTCTAATCAAAAAGGAAGGGTTTAACTTTAACATAATAAAATTACATATAACAAACAGTTATCAAGCAAGAATTGCAGTTACAATATTTAGTCTATTTGTATTTTGTAAAATTAAAGAAAATATTCTATCTATCCTATATTTGTGATTCTAAAGTTTCATATCTAATTTATCTTTTATCATAACTAAGGAAATTATAACTATCTAGTCTTCAACAACATCAAAGACCTCAGAAGGATACAATATTATCTAAGTAAGTAGGAAGTGCATTGTAAGTGTAAGTAAACTGCACAAATTCTGGGTTTGGTGTCCCAGGTTTCAGCACCAAAATGTTAGTAAATTGATGGCTGAAACTGCAAGGAGACAGTTCAGCCCTAGAGGGCGAGGTATCCTGGACACCTCGAGCTACTTAGAACAAGAGCTCTGCCCTGAAGGTGTCCCGGACACCTGGAGCTGTTTAGCACAGCTCTGATGGTTGGAACTGGAAAGAAACAGCCCAACCTTGGAAAGGAAATTTTTCTGACTTCTCGGGAGAGGTAGGCCTGGAACTACTTCAGCAAGGAAGGGTATCCTGACTCTTCAGGAAATACCTGGTGTGATGGGGTATGGTCTTCCCACAGGACACAGCAATCCTGCTCTCCTGGAGAGCCACAATCTCCAGCTCAGTGTTACCAGCTCCCCCTTGCTCAGTCCACTATGGGATGTCCCAGCAAGGTTCTTCTGTGCACCAGTGAATGAAGGTCTTCACCCAAAACTGTTTTGAGAAAGAGTTTATTTGGGAAGGAGGAGTCCAGGAGAGTAGCTGCCTCTACCAGGGTGGAGAGATCAGCTCACAACTGACTGGGCAGGGTGGTTTATATAGGATGTCTAGGGGGTGGAGTCAACTGTGATTGGTTAGTTTATTTTCTGCCCAGGTATTGGCCAGTTTTGTGAGCAAGGGGTAGAGATGGCCCTGATTTCAGGGCCAAACTGTGTTTCTTTTACTGGCCTTTCTTGGCTTTTTGACACTACCTCTAAGGCCAGGGCACATTTCTTTCACTGACTCTGATTCTAGGGGCCAAGAGTGTTATTTTGGTATTAGTTTCAGAGTCAGGGCATATTTCCTGGGTTCTGGGTTTGGGGATAAAGTGTTCACTTCTCTGGCTCAGGTCCCAAACACAGACTGTGTTTCTTTCCCTGGTCCTGGGGCCTAGGGCCAGGATTCTGCTGTCCTGCTCTGTGATTGGTTGTTTTCACAAGTCAGTTGGACAGGGGCAGAGGTGGCTCTGATCTGAGCTAAACTGTGTTTCTCTCACTGGCCTTATCTGAGCCATCCTTCCCTAATTCTGGGCTCCAGGGTCAGGGTGGGTTTCTTTAGCCAGCCCCTTTTCCCTACAGGAAGCAACTTTCAAAAATCTAGAATGACAGAGACAGCTGCCTTCCTGGATAGTCATCCAAAATTCCTCTACAACTTTGGGGCATCCTTCTTTAGCCCATAGGCCTAGAGTCTCTCAGTCACTTCTGTGTCCTTTTACAATGTCTGGCAGTTTCTTCTGCAAAGCAGGAGCCTGAAGGACCATTTTGCCTTGCAAAGTTCAGTGGTCACCTTCCTATGGGTCCTGCATGTCCGGTCGATACAACATTTCATCAAGCAGTCCAGGCAAGAACAGTTTCTTGCCCAAATGGCTATTTTTGCCAAGGAGAAGATAAACTCCATATGGAGTGTCTTCGATGCCCATCTTTCTCTTTGAAGTAAGTTGGTGCTGCCAAGAATAGTCGTGTCTCATTGTCCAGAACGTCAAAGTTCTTAAAACATTTTAAATGCCGTATTCTGTAGGTCTTTCAAGTGTTTGAAGATTACCTATCTATCTGAAATATATGTATGCATACCTAGAAAATTTATCATGACTATAAGTTTGACTATCATAGAAGACTAATTATTAATCTATATTTTTAAATTTTTTATTACAATTTAAATAATTTACATAAACATGCTACCTTAAACAAGGGTAGAAATATCCTTTCTCTTGTTCTATAGTTCTCTTCCATCTGTTTCATTTGCTCTGTTAAAGCTCTTTAGTTTGGCATAATCCAGTTAGTACATTTTTCCTTTTGCTGTCTGTGCTTTTGGTGTCTTATCCAGACCGTCTTTGCTCAGACTGATGCCCTGAACTGATTCCATGTAATTTCTTCTGATGGTTTTGTGTTTCAGGTTTAGTCATTTTTTCCATTTTTTAGTTGATTTTTATATTGTTAGAAAGTGAACAGGCAGGAAAAT